ATGATATTCATAGTTTACTTATATCAACAGTTTTGCAACCTGCATTTCTCTGCACCATCTCTAACAGCACCAGAAGCCATAGCCTTAGGCTGTTCTTATGCACGGACACAATGTGTGAGTAAGGAAGCCATCTATGAATGCCACTTACTACATTCTCAGGTGAACCCAATCCACCACGGATGCCCAGTGAAAGCAAATATAGATTCCTACAACTTCAGTGCTGCAGTGCAAAAGCCCACAAGTCTTCTCTTTAGGGGAAAAAGAGAAGTGAACAAACCAGGGGTGGGTTTCGGCTTCTTCTACTGCCGGTTCACTCAGGGATGCACTTTGGGTGCGCTATGCACACTTGATGCGCTATGTGTACATGTGCAGTAGGTAAAAATGCTTCTGGGCAGGTGCAGAAGCAAAAAACAAGGTGGCGCTGCCCTAGGCATCGCCGATAAAACCGGTTTGGGGACATGGCCGGCTGAGTTACTACCTACTCAGCCGAACCGGTATGAATTGGTAGGAACCCACCTCTGGAACAAACATTGAAGTCCAATTTTTCTTTTCAACAGCTCAGATCTATTAGGCCAATCTTTCAAAAGATCAGGCAATATTCCTGTGTATGGAAAGGAAAATCATTTTTCCTGTCCACATTATCTAGCAGCTTATGGTCCCTCTTATCAGTTATTTCATATTTTCAGTCCAAATGGATGAACAAGAGGAGAGAAGGGAATATGAGAAAGGTACATTCTTTTTTTTTTTTCTTAAATGATCCAGATCAAGAGAGCTGCACATTTTTTAAACAAAAATGTTAATGTTTTATTGTGGCATGGAAAGCTAGTAACTGGTATTCTGAAATTTTAAATTATACATTGCAGTTAAGGTACTATGCTGGCAAGCATGCTGAAAAAGAATAAAAAAAAATTCACCACCATTTTGCTATTCCAAGGACAGACAACCTACACGAACTCTCAGAATGCCAACATCTTGCTACTAGAATTCAGTGGTATAATGCCTGATTTTGTTTCACCTCTGGTGTGAATTTTTTGAATCACAGTGGCAAAACGCTCCCATTCCCAGCCTAACCCTCCCCCCCTTGCTATGCCAATCAAATGCCTTTTAAAATACAAGTAGTGATGGGACAATACATCACAGCCCCCTCATTCCATAGTTACCTGCCTCTGAGCTACCTGATTTATTGATCAGCTTTTCCTACATTTCTGTCCCTTTTCCCCTTTCTTTCCCTCTAATTACAGATAGTCCTTGACTTATGACTGGTTGTTTACTGACAATTAAGAGTTATGATGGACCCCCCCCCCCAAAAGGGGGGGGATCTGGATTCAAAGTTTCAGTGGCCACCCCATCAGTCACGTGATTGCATTTTGGGCATTTGGAAACCAGATGTTTGCAGCATCCCAGCGTCATGGACCATGATTTATGGTTTCTGGAAAAAATGCCCGTTGCACACAATGGTTCAGTTAACGACAGCAGATTCACTTAGCAATTGCTACAAAAAATGTCATAAAATCAGATGAGTCACAGGATGATGCACTGAATAATCAGAATGACTTAGGGTGGTAATTCTGGATTCAATTAGAGCTGTAAGTTGAGGACTACCTATACTCCCTTTTTTCTTTATTACAGTGGTTTCATTTTCACCATCCTATCTTTCTTTGTTAAGTTTTTCTTGCTTTTCCCTCTCTTTCCCTTCTGTTTTTTTTAAACGTGTCATTCATAGAGAATGTCTCTATCTTTAGCAATTAAGAAACTAAAGCAATAATCCACATCTGTACAGATGACACCTATTGCTACCACTCTTACATGTTGGATGTGGACATTCATACAAACCACAGTTTGAGATCATTTCTCTTCTTATTCACAATACCAGTGATGGCTAACCTTTTTGGCTCTGAGTGCCAAAAGTGTGTGTGTATGCACCCATAATGCTATGCACATGCACACCATGCATACACCCCATCCCCATCTCCCGCATTTGCCCTGCATGCACGGCAGAGACCCAAAAATCAGCTGGTCGGCAGAAGGCCCACATGCATGCGTGGTAGAACTGAGCTGGTGCGATGGCTCATGTCCCCACAGAGAGGGCTCTGAGCGCCACCTGTGGCATGTGTACCATAGGTTCACTACCATGGCACTATACTTTCACAATCAGCTTCTTATTCCTTGAGATGAGATATTACTCTTTAAGGTCTTTGTATGCCTTTAAATGCTTCTTTGGCTAATGTCATTATTCAATACTGAGATGTCTTTAATTGTGCAATGTATACAATAAAGATGAAATGTTTTCCAACACTGTATTATATACTTTGTTAATTGCTTTTCATTTTAATATTTGTTTTGTTCTGTTTCCAAAAATTGCAGTAGGGTATGGTTGTATTCAACAATTACTAAATTAATAATTACAGTTTCCCTTCCAATGCCATTTCTTGATATAGCAATAGCAATAGCAATAGCAGTAGACTTATATACCGCTTCATAGGCCTTTCAGGCCTCTCTAAGCGGTTTACAGAGAGTCAGCATATTGCCCCCAACAATCTGGGTCCTCATTTTACCCACCTCGGAAGGATGGAAGGCTGAGTCAACCCTGAGCCGGTGAGATTTGAACCGCTGACCTGCTGATCTAGCAGTAGCCTGCAGTGCTGCATTTAACCACTGCGCCACCTTGGCTCTTTTATCTGTTGCATTTAAGAAAATCTGTGTTTTATGATGATCTATGACCAAAATAAATGTGCTGTTTTAAGACAGTACTACAATATTTTAAATGTATAGCAGTTTACTGTCTTCCTCACCATTGTTTTCCAATTATATTGTACAAATTTTAATTGGCTCTGAACATATTATTGCCACTCAGTGGGGGGAAAAAAAGCAGAAATGCATGAATCTGAGACTTTGTGTGTGTATATCTGGTCTAAATGGTCTCAGGTTTAGTTCTGCATACCGTACTTCCTGCACTGTAGGTTCCATTTTTGAAATAGTAAAAAAAATGAAAGAAGTTTCAAAGTACAAATTTATTTAGAGAGAGGAAAAGACACCTTGTCATATTTGCATTCTTATATTACTTTCAAATGGAGTTTTAAACTTGTTTAGCAAATGTCAAGTTCATGGTTGGTCTACAAGGAATTTCGTGACTACAATGTTCAAAACAGCATCTCATAGCACACATTAAAGAGCAGGAGACACTGTTGGTAGTATGTCTTAAAACAGATCTACAAAAGATTCTGAGTGAGGTTTTAACAGAAGGGAAAGGCTTTTGAAGAAAGTATATCACCCCAGAGGCCAATCAAATGAATCAGAAGCACAATTAATTAACTTCCTATGTGTCATCTTTGGAATGAGAGTTCCCTCCTGGAGTCTTTTTTTTTAGTGCATCCTCCAAAAATGAGTTGAAAGAAGATCCAAGAGAAAGCCAACCACGTCCCATAATCTTCAACAAAGACTTCACTGAATGAGTTGGATATTATGCGAATTATAACTCACTTATTTGTAGGACTCCAGATTGAAGAAAGTTGTCATATAATAAATTTTATTAGTATTAATTTATGGAATTTTAATTTTAAGCTATGTGTACAAGTTGAATCTCAGCCAAGCCAAGCACGTCTGACTGAATGAATACATTTATGAAGATCCATCCAGCAACAGAAAACAAAACAAAAGGAAGGCAGAAAGGAAGAAAAAATATTACACATGAAAACCAATCATTTCATCTTCATTATATTTTACCACCCGTAGCTTTTAAAATGTAAGTTCCAAAGAGAACACTTCCACATTGAGATACCCCAATTTCATTAAACCTGATCAAAAAGAGTTCAAGGCAGCATACATTTGAACTGAAAACATTACCAATGAATTGATCAAATATTGTCAAATAGATCAATAATATTATCACCCAGCTAGATAGAAGCACTTACCTGACCTTGACTAATCTTGAAAAGGTAAACAGGGTTGGCCTTAGTTTTTATTTGAAAAAGAGGCCACCAGAAAATCCCAGCTTGAAGATTAGACTGGGGAATTGACAAAACTTATGGAAGTAGGCAACACCAAACATCTTACTTATTACATGCAACGTCTATAAAGCAATTGGGGATTGTAAGATTTAACTTATTTTACTCAAATAAGTAAATTTGGGAAAATAGCCTATTTAGTAAATGAAGAATAATCATGATAAATTATGATTCATCCACCTTATTGTGTTTTTAGAGAATAAAATTAAAATGTAATTCTAGAAGGAATGACTAAACAAGATGTGTTTTGCTGTCTTGGTTTCTATGTAGTCATACATTGAGTGGAATGAAATGAAATAAATAAGGGCACCAACAATATTGGACTTCACCCTACAATGTTGCCTTACTCTTGTTCCCAATCCATGTGTTATAGAGTCTTATGTATTTATCAATGACAAACATTTTCAAGTAGTATTTTCTCCTCCATTATTCTGACACCATCCAAGGGCAGCTCCAAGCTATGTAAAATCTGTTATACATTGCCACTTGTTATGATGGAGGACAAGTAGGGTGACAGTGTCTATAAAGGGGCATTTATTGGCCATTTCAAGTTGGGGTGAGCATCAATGTCATCCATGCAGGGTTTGTGTGTGTGTTTCAAAAAATTAAGAGGGTTCCACAGCAATATGACAAAACCTGCCTCATTGTTCATATGAGCAACATAGACACATTCACAAAAGAGGCAGGGTTTTGCTAATTCTGTTAAGGTAATCATCTTAATTGTATTCCTCCTGTAGATGCTGATGTTGGACATGTCTACTTTCCTCTGTTCCCCTATCAGGCCTTTTCTGCAACCCTTCTGCTATTAACTCCTAGAAGAGATGTGCCAATCAGGCCACCAGTGACCCATTACTTCTGCAAATGAATGACTTGTTACTTTTTGCTAATCTTTACTTCCATAAAGATAAATCCAAATTTAGAGCAAATTTTCCCATGAGACTGAAGGAATCCGCCTTATGAAAAAAGGGAGAAAACCCCATCATTTGAAAATCTTACTGTGGTCTTGAAGCTTCAGCTTGGTCTGTTTGAAGTTTCTCTCCTCCTTCTACTTCCATTGTACAGTAAACAATACGGCTTGGAGCTAGAGACTTTAAGCCTTGAACTTCCATTATAACAATCTGTACAAGAAAAAACCCAGTAAATGTGCATTGGCATAACAGTTTGAAAGATATACTCAGAACACAGAAGGCAATGTTACCATTGACTAAAAATATAGGTCTCACTCAGATTTATAAAAATGTAAGCTTATTGTCCCTTTATACAGTTCATTGATCATCTTCTTCCTTGCAACTTTGGATTAACCTTTAAAATATATTGATGGTTTTAAACATTGAAGAAGAAAATTACTAAACATTGGAGACAAACAAGTATGCTCTATATTCATGTGTACAGAGCAACCGTCATACTAAGCCTCAGGCTGCGTTTTAAAAATCCAAAAATCCTATATGTAGCAGCTCATACTACATTAGGGTTATATTTGTCAGTAAATATATTGCAATGTATAATACATTATTATAATATTTTAGGATGTAAAGACTACTGTGTTTCCCCAAAAATAAGACAGGATCTTATTTTCTTTTGGGCCCGGAAATAAGCACTTGGCCTTATTTTCAGGGAGGTCTTATTATTTTTGAGGTGCAGGAGACAGTGAGCGTGGTTACCTCATGGCTGCTGCTGTGTTGCAATGTTTTCGGGGAAGGCTTATTTTAGCGCATGTGCTCAAAAGCCCAATTGGGCCTATTAACCCGGGGAGGTCTTATTTTCAGGGAACAGGGTCTGTTCACCAACAGATTATAAATATTGAGAGTGTAATTGTGGATGCTTTTGGATATGACTAGTGGCCACAAAGCTCTAAATGTATCTTTTTGTACAAATATTACTCACCAGCAAGGGAGGAACAATGCTAAGATAAATAAACAAATTCTTAGTTTGAATCCAAGAAAAACATATGAAGAAACTAGTAATATTTCAAATATATTAAAAACACTGTATCTAGATCTAATCTGATACATAGCAACTGAGTATTAGTATAAACTACTGCATACCCAACTATTGTAAGACTTACCTTGATCTGAGCATAGAACTGTGAACATTCACATATTAAAATAACACTCATCTCAAGTGCAAATCTGAATTGATTAACAGATACCTGGAAGTAGCTAGGGGAAACTTAATCTTTAATTGACACCAGAATGCTGTTACAACTGTTGGTCAAAATTCCAAAATTCCATTTATTCATATTGCTGGGAAGAATTATGAACACAGTTGAGGTGCTAATCTCATGTCTAACTAGAGACATATAAAAATATTTTCACACCATTAAACCCAGGATGTTAAAGGCCCTCCATATCAACATCTAATTGCCCAAAGTTCCACTTCTAAGTTGAATGTAGTGTTGAAATGTATGTCACATGCTGCCTTAGTGGCTTGCCACTTTAGAAATTGAAATTATTGCCCTTGAAGACAACAAATTAAATTATGACTGTGAAGGTGATTGTTCCTCAACTCAAATTCTTTAAACTGTAATTAATATCATCATGCAATTGGGAAACCATTGTTTTCTTGACTACAGAAATGTGCATTGTGACCAGGTCAACTTGCAGAGAGATTTCCCTGATTAGAAAAAGGCACAGTATCATTTTGTTTTCCTATGAAATGGGAGAAAAAGGAGAAACCGAACATCTTGGAAAACGTTTTTGCAAGGAAACACTTCTTTTAAGCAGTTTTTCAAAAACCTCCAGAAAATTTAGTTCACTTACTACATGTTAGCAATTTCTGTACACTTTGAAATTAAGTAAGTTAAATTCATCTTTTCCAGTTATGAAAAGATAAATTGGCCAGAGTGCTTCTAGACCTTCAGGTTCTAGAAATATTCTACGAGTTTTCCACTGCCAGAAAGCCACACAACATATAATACAGGCAGCCAGTTCTCAGCATTTTATTTTAAACTTAATACTTTTCTCTAAAATTCTACTGGCATTGTAGTACTGGGAATCTAAATTGAAGCACACCTTCAAAGATTAGGAAGGAAAATAGTTCAACAGATAAAAATAATTTGGAGAATACTGGCTTAAAATGACACCTTGGTTGCACAAATAGACGCATAATAATATCTTTTAAAAACAATTCTGGCTTTCTCATTTATAAAAGACTCGCATGTCTATTCAACCTTTCTTTTTCTTTTTCTAAAAAAGATAATCCTATGATAAAGATATATGCGTATCTCTATTGAGCTGTAGAACACATACCCAAACATACACACTCACTCACTTACACACACACACACACTCACACACACAAACATGCATGCAAACCTACATATATACCAATTATATATGCTCTCTCAGGACTAACCAGTTAGGAGCAAAACACATAAAAGAAGAGAGACCTGTTCCCTGGTAACTTTTTTGATTTTGATTTTAATTCCGAGCAGGGGTGGGCTACTATGGGTTTGTCCGGGTTCGAGAGAAGGAGTCTCCACGCAGTTCATTTTGGATGCGAGGTAAGTGCAGGACCTGCATGGAGGTTTGGGGAGGGGGAGCGTGAAAAAACGGCCCTATGGGCAAACCGGAAATTCAGGAATGGACTTCCGGTTTGCTTGTAGGGCAGGTTTTAGCCCTCCAGAGCCTTCAGGGGCCTTCAGGAGGCTTCCATTAAGGCTCCGGAGGGCAAATGCGTCAGGAGGACGCAACACTCAGGAGGGCAAATAAATGACTCTACAAGCAACCTGAAAGTCCGGTTTGCTCGTAGGATCATTTTTTGCCCTCCGGAGCCTTCAGGGAAGCCTCCTAAAGACTCTTGAATGCTTGGGAGGGCTAAAACCGGCCCTACGAGCAACTCAGAAGTAATAATACAATACAATAGTAGAGTTGGAAGTGACCTTGGAGGTCTTCTAGTCCAAACCCCTGCCTAGGCAGGAAATCCTATAACATTCCAGATAAATGGCTATCCAACATCTTCTTAAAGACTTCCAGTGTTGGGGCATTCACAACTTCTGGAGGCAAGTTGTTCCACTGATTAATTGTTCTAACTGTCAGGAAATTTCTCCTCAGTTCTAAGTTGCTACTCTCCTTGATTAGTTTCCACCCATTGCTTCTTGTTCTACCCTCAGGTGCCTTGGAAAATAGTTTGATTTCCTCTTCTTTGTGGCAACCCCTGAGATATTGGATCGCTGCTATAATGTCAACTATAATGTCAACCCTAGTCCTTCTTTTCATCAAACTAGGCATACCCAATCCCTGCAGCTGTTCTTCATGGGTTTTAACTTCTAGTTCCCTAATCAGCAATGGGTGGAAACTAATCAAGGAGAGAAGCAACTTAGAACTGAGGAGAAATTTCCTGACAGTTAGAACAATTAATCAGTGGAACAACTTGCCTCCAGAAGTTGTGAATGC